ACCTTCCTTCCGAGGAGTGGCTGGTGGGTTTGAACCGCCAGCCTTCTGGTGAGCAGTCAAGTGCCTTAGCCACTATGCTACCAGAGCTCCTATACGCATATGAGATGAGGTGACTAAAAATACTATGGCTTGTGTTAGGTGCACTTTAGTCTTCAAAGTGACATCTTTGCTTCTTAACACTTTAAAGAGGTCTTTTACAGCAGATTTTCCCAGTGCAATATGACATCTGATATCTTGACTGCTGCTTCTATGGGTGTTGATGGTGTTAGGATTTACAACATATATTTTGGGGGGACACAATGCAATTCATAATATTAGGGAAGGTGCTAATTCACTGTCACTGAAGAGCAATGTTTCTGGGTTCCAGGACTAACAGAATTGTTACTTTTCTTAGAGAACTGGAATTGTTCAGATCTGGATTAGAGTTCTCTTTGGTGTCAGATTAGGAAAGGTGTTGGCATTCTTCCAGAAGTAGGTCACCAACACTCACGTGGTTTTTAGATGGAGAGTGGCAGGAGCCTGGGTGAAGGTAATACCAGGACTCTGCTTCACACAACAACAAAACTCTGTCTTGTGATTCTGCCAGTTAGAGAGTTATGGGGTCACTGGATTCCTTTTAATAATGCATATCCACATTTGCCTATCAGCAGTGGATATTCAAAGGTGGGTAGTGGGAGTAGTGTGCCAATATAGGAGTTATGTTATTACTAACATTGTTTATAATTGCTAGTGCAAGATGATATTTAAATACAGAGTTTTAGTCAGCTTCATTGTGCCTTCAAACTCTCTAGAGATACTAAGCATTTAGCTGCTAACCAAAAGCTTGAACCTACCAGCCACTCCACGGGAGAAAGATGAGGCAGTCTGCTTCCATACAGATTTATAGCCTTGGAAACCCTCTGGCACAGTTCTACGCTGTCCTATAGGATCACTATGAGTAAGATCAACTCAGTGGCAGTGGGTTTATTATTTTATTTTATTTTTTCAGAGACAGTGTCTCCTGATATTGCCTGCACCCAGGGCAGATTACTCCCACCTGCCTCCTCTAATCCTAGAAAACCCAAATCGGTTGCTGGATGGTTGAGTCTGACTCACAGTGACCCCATGCATGTCAGAGTAGAATCGGGCTTCATAGAGTTTTCAATGGCTGATTTTCTGGAAGCAAATTTCCAGGCCTTTCTTCTGAGGCACCTCTTGGTAGCCTCAAGCCAACAACCTTTTGGTTAGCGGCAGCTGAACACATTAACTGTATCACCCAGGGCCTCCCTTTCAATCCTACCCTTGGTAAATCACGGCCTCTCAGACAATTCACATCTTTATGACAATTACTTTAGTCTGCTGACTGGAATAATAGCTACCAATCACTGAGCTCATTCTGTGACATACATTCAGCACTGTATTTTTATAGTCTTCAAAACAGTCCCATGTGGAAGCTGCATTATAACCATAACTCAATTGAGTCCCAGAGGCTCCAAAAGGTTCATTAAACTGCTCACAGTCACACAGCAGTTATGAAGCAGAAATGGATATGAATTGAGAACTGTTGTTGTTGTTGTTGTTGTGTGCCGTCGAGTCGACCCTGACTCATAGTGACCCATCCTTAGGTTTCCGAGGCAGTATCTCTACGGAAGCAGAATGCCCAACCTTCCATCCAAGGAATGGCTGGTGGGTTTGAATCGCCGACCTTCTGGTAAGCAGTCAAGTGCCTTAGGCACTGCGCTACCAGAGCTCCTGAATTGAGCACTAGCTGAATCCAAAGTCTTGCTGAAACCAAAATTTCCTGAAGGAATGAGATTTGGTGAGGGAGTAGAGCAAAGTGCAAATTAGGGAAAGGCAGATTCTAATGAAGTTTTCTGGAGTTCTTGGGTGACACAAACAGTTAACTCACTTGGCTAGTAACAAAAAGGTTGGAGGTTCGAGTCTACCCAGAGACACCTTGGAAGAAAGGCTTAATGATTTACCTTTGAAAAAAAAACAGCCACTGAAATCCCTATGGAACACAGTTCTATTCTGACATACATGAGGTTACCATGAGCTGGAATCAGCTCAATGGCAACAGGCTTGGTTTTGGGGTTTAGTGAGCATTACTAGTAAAATAGCTTTCCAAAAATCAAAAGAACTAATGAATCCTGATTGGTAATGTTTGCCAATTTCCCTGGTGTAAATCCACCACTCATGTGTCAGTTTGTTGTACTGTGGTGGCTTGCATGTTGCTGTGAGGATGGAAGGTATGCCACCGGTATTTCAAATACCAGCAGAGTCACCCATGGTGGACAGGTTTTCAGCAGAGCTTCCAGACCAAGACAGACTTGGAAGAAGGAGGGGGCTATCCACTTCTCAAAGAACTGACCATTGAAAACCTTATGAATAGCAGCAAAACTCTGTCTGATTCAAAGATTTCATATTACTTGGTTCCACAATCAACACCAATGGAAGCAGCAGTGAAGAAATCAGATAATGTATTGCACTGGGCAAATCTGCTGCAAAGACCTCTTTAAAGTGCTGAAAAGCAAAGATGTCTCTTTGAAGACGAAGGCGTGCCTGATCCAAGCCACGGTATTTTCAGTCTTCTTACATGCCTGTGAGAGCTGGCCAATGAATAAGGAAGACTGAAGAAGAGTTGTTCCTTTTGAGTTGTGGTGTTGGTGAAGAATAGTGAAAGTACCATGGACTGCCAGAAGAACTAACAAATCTGTCCTAGAAGAAGTGCAACTAGAATGCTCCTTGGAAGCAAGAATGGCCAGAATTTGTCTCACCTACTTTGGTTGTGTTGTCAGGGGGACCATTCCCTGGAGAAGGATATCATGCTTGGTAAAGTGGAGGGTGAGGGAAAAAAGGGAAGGTCATCAACGAGATGGACTGACACAGTGGCTTCAACAATAGGCAGTGTTTCGTTCTGTTGTACTTAGGGTCATTATGAATCAGAGCTGACTCAATGGCACCTAACAGCACAACAGCAACTGGTGTAAATATTTCCATAACGGGTGATTTCACTGAATGCAAGTGGACCTGAAGGATTTGGTTACTGGTTCCTTATATTTTTGGTCAAATGTTGGTGCTATAGTTTCTTTTTAGTTTTCTTTATAGTTTCTTTTTTTCTTTTCTGGAGAATTATTAGGAACCTCTAATACTGCAATTGGGAGCTCTGGTAGCGTAGTGCCTAAGGCACTTGACTGCTAACCAGAAGGCTGGCGGTTCAAACCCACCAGCCACTCCTCGGAAGAAACATGGGGCAATCTACTTCTGTAGTGATACTGCCTCGGAAACCCAAGGAGGGGTCTCTATGAGTCAGGTCCGACTCAACAGCACATAACAACAACAACAACAATACTGCCATTACCTGCAATTTCTCTCAGTCAGACTCTCTATACCTAGAAGTTGACCCACATGCTGAATTCTTCCTGGGTTGCAGAGGGCTAATCACTCACAAAACTGGTGTGCATTCTTTGTGGTTTGTTGTTATGTGCCGTTGAGTTGGACCCGTCTCATAGCGACCCCTCCTTGGGTTTCCGAGGCGGTATAACTATGGAAGTAGATTGTCCCACCTTCCTTCTGAAGACTAGCTGGTGGGTTTGAACTGCCATCCTTCTGGTTAGTAGTCAAGTGCCTTGCATGCATTAGAAATGGCAAAAGACAATGGAGCAAAGTGCAACAATCAGAATAAGAGATATTGTTGCTTTAGCCATGTCCTCTCTCTTTCTCCTTAGAATAAACACTGTGTAGGAATCCCTGGGAGCTCTAGTGGTGCAGTGCCTAAAGCATTTGACTACTAATCAGAAGGCTGGTGGTTCAAACCCACCAGCCACTCCTCAGAAGGAAGGTTGGGCAATCTACTTCCGTAGTGATACCTGGGTAGTGCTAACAGAAAGGCTGAAGGATTGAGTCTATTCAGAGGCTTCTTGAAAGAAAGAGCTGATGATCTACTTCCAAAAAATTAGCCATTGAAAACCCTGGGGAGCATAGTTCTACTCTGACACACATGAGGTCACCATGAGTTGGGGTTCACTGGACAGCAACCAGTTAGTAGTTTCCTAGGGCTGCCATAGATGAATGACTCAAAACGACAGAAATTTATCACCTCATGGTTCTGGAGGCTAAAGTCCATATGCAGGGCATCAAGAGGGCCACGCTCTCTCTCAGGTCTCTAGGGGAAGATCTTTGCCTGTTCCTTGGCTTGCAGCTACCGCACTACTCCATTCTCTGCCTCTGTCTTCACATGGCCATCCTCCCTCTGTGTTTCTCAGTATCTCTTCTCTTTAATTAGGACACCACTCATATTGCATTAGGACCCACCCTACTCCAGTACGAAGTCATGTAAACATAACATTTTCAAAGACCCTCTTTCCAAACAAGGTCAAATTCACAGGTACTGGGGGTTAGAACTTTAGCATATCTTTTTGGGAGATAAAATCCAATCTATAATACACTCATAAAGTAGCTCCTACAATAGATAAAAGTGTGAAGAAGCTAGTTTATAAAGATCTGAAGTGGTGGTTCAGTTGACAAACCTTGTTGCTGACCCTCTCACCAAAATAAGCAGTCCGTTGGCTGGGATCAACCTCCTAAAAAGATTTCCTCTGAGAAGGAGAACTAATCCCTCATTTTGTTAAAAAACCATTATAGTCTCTCACCATCCCTGGTATCTTTAGCATCTGTACAACTGAGTTTTACTTAGAATTTTTAAATTCAGAGATGTGTAAGAACACATGCACATGTGGAGACATGTGCATACACACATATATACACATATTCATAGAAATATACACACACATGCACAAACACACACACATACACACGTATACACACACAAATATACACACACACACACCAGGTGAGAATGGAGCCCCAACCTTTCCATTAACAAGGGTTTCAAAACTGGACAAACACCAACTGGCAGAAAATTTTTATCAGGAGTGTGAACAAAACCAGGAACCCATATCCCCCTTCAAAGTTACTTACTAGGTTGGCATTTAAAGGAGACCAGGAGGTATTTACTGCTTCCTGGACAAAGGTCAGGTCCAAAAACACGGCTATTGACCAAGAGGTGGCAGGCCCGCTGGTTCTGGCACTCATCCAACACCTTCTAAAACAAGGGGGTAGAAAAGGGACAGACGTGAAAACCGCATACAGCATCTAAGAGACCCCAAACTGGGCTGTTTTGAGGGAAGGCACCTCCCTGCCTGGCCAAGGTTCACACAGAGAATATCTGAGCTGCTCTGGGCTCTGTCTAAGATGAAAGCACATATATGTGGGTGACTGGTTGCCTCTCTGTTGTCTCCCCATTCTTTTCCAAAAGAAGAAACCTGATCCAACAGCACCAGGCTCCTGTCAGAAAACCAACCTCCAATTAGCTTCGACTGGCACCACTGTTAATACTTTTGACAAAAGCTCTGCATTGTGAAGACTCCAGGAGACACAAGAGAGATCAGAGAACTGAAGAATGTGGGGCTGGCAGGCACTTAAAGGTCCCCTTCGAGGAAGTTCCTCACTTTAAAGTTGAGATAATTGTGGGAGTCAGTGATCACAGTCATGGTCCTCAGCCTTAGAAATGGCTCCCACAGGCCACAGGAGAGCTCGGCATCTGAGGGAGGCCACACCCTTTCCAGCTTTTTCTCTTTTGACCCATTACATAGTCAAACAAATAAAAATGTAAAAGCTGATCCACACCCTCACCAAACTCAAGGGTATGGGGCCCAAGCTCCCTTGTGGAGCAACATTCTTCATGAAATACTCAGACTCTCTTAAGTATTTGGCTTAAAAGCTTTCTTTCAGCTCTCTATCTCTCCTGATTTTTTCCAGGCAACTTAATCATTTGTTAATGGATCTGCTCTGTGAAAGCTCACAGTTGACCTACCTTGGGCCATGGAAAGACCCAACATTTCACTGCTCACTTCCGGGTTCCCAAACAGAGCATGCCCTGCCCATGATAAACACAGAGGTCTCAGACTTGGTTCTGGTAAAAGGACACAAAGTACAGTAAAAACTCTACTGAGAATCTAATTGCTACTTTGGGACTAGATTTAGCTCAGATCCATGAGCCTTTCTGAATCACCATGCTCTTATAGAAGCTCACAGATCATCTCCCAGAAGGAATCACTCATCACTTCAGAAGTCCACTTCTTGGACCCCACAAGACCCCAGGAGGCACAGCTTTCAGATGAAAGTACATGACTCATGACCCTGGGTCATGGTTAAATGATTTAGCCCTCAGATGTCACCAGAAGGGTCCACATGTTACAGCTGCATCGAGGGGAACTAGACAGAGCTGTTTCTAACCTGTACTATGGGCACTTCCTCTTGACATTCAGACATGGGCTGGATCCACTGAGGAACCCCTGTGTGGACATCAACCTGAGCTCTTCTTAAATTAGGCAACCATCCCCTGAGGAAGCACCTTGCCTCAGCTCCCAAAGCAGTTAAAAGACATGATGTAAAAGAATCTCTTGATCTCTGGATGAAAGAGCAGGGCACGGGATGTTTTCTGGCAAACAAACCCTCAAACAACATCAGAATTATGTTCACAAATGCTAACTTGTCAGCCTGGTTATGGAACATCTTCTTCCCTCAGGGCTGCCTGGCAGAGGCAGGCACCCATGGTAAGGGCGGTGCCATTCTTTGGAGTTCCTGGGTGCCAGGAGTTCATACTTTCCCAAAGAAGGCACTTCTGCCCTTTTGGCACTGGCCCAACATTTTGTTTGTGCACTTAGAAGGGCAGAGACAGCCTAGGGACAAGGGATGGATGGGCAGAGCACTTGGGGTGAGGGACAGTGGAAGGAGGGATGGCACCAAAGGGGAAGGATTGTGGGTAGGGCACACAGGAAAGTAGTTGCTTGCTTCCAGAAAAAAAAAAAAAAAAGTCTCCCCATAGAGTATGGAAACCACATTTCTGATGAACTCAAATATATTTGTTTTGCCTACTCAGTTGGTATCTTTACCCATAACATGACTACCCAGGACACTATGATGCTTGAAATGAAAGCAATAAATGGTGTAAGAATTTTAAAGATCCAGAGTTGCCATATTGTTTTTGCTTTTTGTCTTTAGACCCTAGAGAAAGCCACATAGCAATGAAGCTAAATCTCTTTCTTGTATTTCTCCTAGGAAACGTATCTTCACCCACATTTCCTATAGCTTACAAAATCAAACAGACTTCTAATTTGCCACCTGCCCTAACTGTCCTAAGGAGCTCTGGTGGTGTAGTGGGTAAGGGATTTGTCTGCTAAGCAGAAGGTCGGCAATTCAAAGCATCAGCTGTCCTGTGGCAGGAAGATACGGCAATCTACTTCCACAAAGATTTATAGCCTTGGAAATCCAATGGGGGTTGCTATGAGTCAGAATTGACTATATGGCAGTGGGTTTGCTTTTTTCCTTTTCAATCTAACAACCCTACTTCAATATTCTCATATGGAACTTTGAAGGCATTAAAAAAAAAAAATCCAAAGCCAAGTAATCCAGTAATCTTGGCCAACTAATTACTCATATTGATAAGCTGGGGGAAAAGTAAAGTAAAAATTTCTCAGATAATTGGAATGGTCTATATGGTTTTACATCATTGAGGTATTAGTTTTGACCCCCTCCTATACCAGATCTTTCCCTAAATATACCAATCCCCAAATAGGAATGACTTAGGTCCCCACCTCTCCAATTTCTTGTACTGTCCAGTAGAAAGGCCAGTCAGCAAAGACTGCCCAAAATACCTTCCAATGAGAATAATATGGTTATCTACAAGTTAAGTAAATCATAAAACAAGCAAACAACTAAAAGACAGTCATTGATAGTTTTCTTCTTTATATATGGTTTCTAAGATGCTGACCTCAGATGGCTGCCTCACAGATATACTTGTTAAAGAATCCACAGCCTTCCTTTAGTATTGAGGTTTTGATAGGAGATGTGGGCCTGAAGGCTGAAACTCAAGAAAACTGTAATAAGGAGTAAGTCTGAGAATAAATCCATATTGCAAATGTATCAAGGGAGTTCTGCAATAAAAAGGGTTTCTATCACAACTTGTTTGGTAAGAATACCTTTGAGAAGCAAGTAATAAGCTCATCTGCAGAACTTGTGATTTGTATAAATTGGGATTTATATGGGTCATTTATATAGCTTTGAGAAAGCTATATTATCACAGGTATGTGTACATGGAGAGAGAGAGTTGAGAACATTTTATTGTCTTAAAACACTTATGAGAGGCAATACCTGCAGAGTGGTGGATGCCATGCAAGTTAGGCTGTCTTTCTTCTGGGATACAGGCTGCTGAGAACTACACATTTGGTCATCTTGCCCATAAAATGCCGATTGGACACTTATCGTAGAATGCCGAGGACACTGGAGATTCAAGTGGTCCCCATCGCAGGCATAGGCGGTGTGGTTTTGCAGGAGTTTAGTTAGGTAACCTGGAAAATATTCAGCTGTGTAAAAATAGTGGTGTGGGGAAGTCAGAACTCCTCGTTTAAATTCACAAAGGGGAAGGAGAATCATTATCAGCATCAATAGCCCAAGGTTGATTCCTATGAGGCACAGGTCAGACATAACTCTTCTCTCCAACCTTTTTATCAATTCTGACACCAGCTGTCCCTTCCATGGCCCTCTCTACTTCTCTGTTGGGTTTGACAATTCATGGTAATGGCCACACAGAACTCACAGAGAATACTCATGATTATGGAATTTATTAGGGAAATAACAGGTTACAATTTAGGAGCAGGAACAAATCAGGATATAGTTCTTCAATCAGGACAGCTTCTTGGCCATGCCCACAGGCAGTCCTTTCCCTCAGCCTCTCAGCCTTCGGCTTTCAAACCTTTTGGCCAGCCCAGAAACTGCCCTGATCAGGCAAGTGTTACAAAGATCTTCAGCTGCATGGATAAATGCCCAGAGGCATCCCACTCTGCCAGCAAGCCTCAGCCTGAAGGTGCTCAGCTCTAATTCCATGGGTCATTAGCACACCTAGTTCAACCAAGTGCCCAAAGACACCCCACTCCACCAGCAAGCCTCCTGCCCAAAGACACTCAGCTCTCTCACTCTGTGGGCTGGGAAGCCCACCACATCATCTCCTGCTGCTCTTGGTTCTGCTGCTACTGGTTCTGAGCCACACTTGTTGCTGCTTGCACTGTCTCCAGTCTTACAACTCTCTGTCTATAGGTCTAGGAGATTCTCAGCACAGGGACCCCAGATCCATTTGCACTCTGCTCCTGGCTTTTCTTTCTTGCTGTTAGTGAAGTCCTCCCTTTCCAACTCTGGGATGGCTCATTTTAAGCTCCGTGGGATGACAAAAGTGACCAATCGCCTTGTTAGAATCCATACACCTTATTTGCATGATCCAGCCGCCACAAGGGTGCCATGCACTTTTATTTGTATTATTAGCAAGATTTCCAATTCCCATGGTGGGCTACAAAAACGTTGGTAGGCTACAAACATAGTTCTACCCAATATTTGGTGGGAGTTAAAAGACCATGCTAGAAAGCCATATAAATTCAACCTGTAACACTGCAAACTTGGTTATAAGAGCTCCAGGAACCCACCACTCCTCTTTGGTTTTGAGGCAGCACTTTGGTTGCTCTAGGGAAGGGACTGAAAGATGGGGATAGATCCTCCTTATAGCTCTAGTGGAGAGGTCTGGATTTAGGCTCAGAGCTAAGCAGATGCCCCTTTTCATGTCAGGGCTAGAAACTTCAGCTTCTGGTCTGGCCCACTGTAATCTCAGAGGGCTTTTTCCCCACAGGAAGCACTGAAGGGTTGGCCAGGAGCCAAGGAGTCCTGGAGTATCTCTATAAAACAGGAAAACATTTTAAGTGGGTGTCCCTTGGGCATGTAGTTGCCTATTCTCAGGGAGACTCATGCTCTCTGATCTTCCACGAGCCTTCCACCATGCCTACCTGGATACAGTCTGAATTTATGAAGTCACTCCTGTGTCTGCCTCATCACTGGGGAGGAAAGCAAAGCAGAACTCTGCCCAGTGTAAAGGCGTGCTCCAAGGAAACATGGGTGGAGGGTGGAGGGAGGGTAGGTGGTGGGTCTCAACCCTAGTTCCTCAGTCATGTCCCAGGCACGTTAGAGAGATAATGCTGAGTCTTCGGCTCTGAGAAGATATGGGAGGGCCTGGCAGCTTCAGGGGCCTGGGCTGTTTCTCAGAAAGGAGGAAAAAAAGATTCATCTATACTGTAGAGTCCCTTCCTCCATCTCACACCTCATAAGGTCAATAGCCAGGCAGCTGGGAGGAGAGCCAGGGACTTTTTGCTTAGGTGTGTGGGAGACAGACTTGGCAGCCTGTGGCCTCTGAGAGAGAGGATGTGGCTCATTTAAAGAAAGAGAGGGGGTGGCATGAAGAGGGGCTGCTTCAGAACACCCCACTTCCCACACGGAATCAAGTTAAGAATTAAGCTATTCCTGTTCAGGTGTCAAAATCCTCCTCAGAATCATAAATCTTAGCTAAAGGCACCCAATCACTTCCCTGAGCATCCCTAAAATGTTCAGTAAAAGGGGCTGAGATAGTCTGCCCTGGGGTTGTCACATATATTGATCCAGAATGCTCTGAAGATGAAGGTAGGGAATACACACTGACACACTCAATCCAGACCTCAGCTCTCTCTGCAATCCCACCCTCACCTCCCACACACACCTTGAAAGTCATCAGACTAGCCAAGACACCAGCAAAGCTGAGTTAAGTCCACTTAGAGAGCAAAGCCTAAAATGAGAATTAAATTGACATCAGGCAGTGGCAATGTGCTGGCAGAACAACAAAGTCACCCTGGGGCACTGAAGGGGCCAGGAGGAGACCTCAGGAGGGTCCAAGGGCTGTGGTGGTTAGTGTCTTCCTCCAGGGCACACAAGGGACCCTAGGGAAAGATAGAATAGTGTACATTTCAGGGGCAGGGGTGGTTCAGTGGTAGAATTTCTACCCTCAATACAGGAGTCCCTGTTTGATTCCTGGCCAATGTGTCATGCATAGCCATCACCCACCTGTTAGTGAAAGCTGATATGTTGTTATGATGCTAAACAGGTTTCAGTGGAATTTCCAGAGTAGGACAGATTAGGAAAAAAGGCCTGGTGAACTATTTCTGAAAAATCAGCCAAAGAAATCTCTACGGATCACAGCAATCCAATCATGGCCAAGTTGATGGCAGCTAACAACCACAGTACATTCCAGCCTCTTTTTGGTCTCTCAGCACCCTGTAATGAACTATACTCTGATCCAGGGAACTCAGCATCTCCCTGATGCTGCCCATAGGCTGGTACCCCAATATTTAGGTTTCTTCAGAATCCGCATGAAAAGTTACCTGCCATTCACCAGAAGAGAAGTAGATGACCAACTAACAAATACTCTGCACGTGACCTTGGGTTAATGTTTATGGTTTGTCTCAAAATATGTTGCTATGACAAGATTAAGGAAATGACAAGACCCTTGGGACAGCAGAACTACAAGATGAAAAGGACTTGGGTCCCCAATTCATGGAGGAAAGGTATGCCTGGTACATAGACTGCTTATGTGAGTAAGAGAGAAATAATTTTTTGTTGTGTTGAGCCACTATCTTGCTTCAGATATGCATTAGGAGTCCTTGAGTGGTGCAAATGGTTAACATGCTTGGCTGCTAACCAAAAATATGGACATTTGAGTCCATCCAGAGGCATCTTGGAAGAAAGGCCTGGTGATCTATTTCTGAAAAATCAGCTATTGATCATAGTCCTACTCTGACACACATGAGGTTGCCCTGAGTTGACTCAACAGTAACCAGTCAGTTGGTACATCTGTCCCCATTAAACAGAACTTGAGTTTCATGGATCATTTACATCAAAACATAATATGTGTGTAGGGAAGTGGCTCGAATCCCTCTGCATACCATATTTATATTCTGAGAGTGATAGTCTGGAGATAGAAGGTTGGCTCATGGAACTAATGAAAGATCTTTCAGGTCCTTTTGTGTTCGAGGCTAACACTGTGCAGGTACAAAGAAGATACATTAGCAATAAAACTTCCAATGGATTCAATCCAATTCCTTTTTCAAATATCTACACCTCCCTGGAGAGGGCTACTTTTGGGAGGAGAGGGGTTAGTGAAAAGGAAGGAGTGTAAGAGGGATCTCAGGGGACTGGCCATGCTCTTTTTCTTGATCTGAATGGTGGACACATATGAAAGTTCACTGAGCTGTACATGTATGATTTGTGCACTTTTTTTGTAAGTAGGTTTTACTTCAATAAAAATATTTGGAAAAAAAAATGTTTACCTGTAGTTATCTGACTGATAGTTGGAGCTGTGTGTCAACTTGGCTGGACCACAATTCTGTGTGGTTTAAGCAGTTGTAATGTGGTTATTCCCATGATGGGATTGGATATATATGCTTTGAGTAGCCAAACCATTGAAAGGGAGTTTCCCTAGGGGTATGGCTTGCTTCCAGTATCTTTATGGACGTCCTGGGAAAAGAGACACTCTTTTGTGGATCAGGATTCTGTTGTGCTGCCTACAACTATCTGTGAGCGAACAATCCACCATTCGGCCTTGAGATCTTGGATTCATCATTCGTTGGAGTCAACAGCCAACCTTGAGCTTCTCAGCCCCTGCAGCTCACCTCCTATGAGTCAAGAAAAGCCTCCAGCTTGACGTTTGATCCAAGAACTTTGGACTTGCCAGCTATAAGTGTGTGAGCCATTTTCCTAAGATAAATTTCTCTTTCTCTATATATATAAGCTTTACCAGTTTTGTTTCTCTAGAGAAACCAGTCTAACACACTGACCAACAGTTTTAATCCACTAAAGTAAGTCTAGGCACCATGGAGGAGCTCTAGTAGTGTAGTGCCTGAGGGACTCAACTGCTAACAAGAAGGATGGCGGTTCAAACCCACCAGCCACTCCTCGGAAGGTAGATGGGGCAATCTACTTCCGTAGTGATACTGCCTCAGAAACCCAAGGAGGGGTCGCTATGAGTCAGGTCTGACTTGACAGCACATAACAACAACAACAACAACAACAAGCACCATGGAGCCTTTGAACAGTGTATAGAGGAGGGGAGTTGTAAAACTTCTCCATCAGCACCTGAGCAGATTCACACTAGGACTCTCTGTCTTGGTTTCCTAGTGCTGCTATAATACCAATACCACAAGTAGGTAGCTTTAAAGAATAGAAATTTATTTTCTCACAGTTCTCAAGGCTAAAAGCCTAAATCAGGGCCTCAGCTATGTCGATTCTTTCCTTGTTGGTTGGTCTGGATGTATCTTGCTTCCCTGGCTTGTAGACAGTCCTCACATGGCATCCATCTTCCCTCAGCTTTGGGTATCTGTGTTTAATATGCTCTTTTGAAAACTCAGAAATAGATATAGAACCCACCCTACTTGGGTTCTAATTAACATAAAGATGACTCTATTTGCAAACATGATTATAATCACAAGTGTAGAGAATAGGATGG